CGATCTGCAAGTGCTACCACCCCTCCCCCAGAGAGATAAACCCCACCCCCTTGCATACTATCTTTTGCCATAAAAGTTTTCCAGTTGTCAATGAATGGATGCAAATTCCTTGCGTACTGCTACCACCCAATTTTCACCAATTGCCCCAGACAACCATTCATTTCCTACTCCCCCTTCAGGCAAGATGCTACATTGTTGGGATCCCTCCCTTTAAATAATGAAAACTTAGCTGACGTACTTATCTACAGCTTTCTCTCCCACCCCTTTCCCCAAAATTTATTTCCCCAGCACTGAGACAGAAAAGGGCTTTTTCCCTTACCTGACATGATATTATCCAGTCTGTTGACAATGTCCCCAACACCCGCTCCAGGGAAGCACACTCTATCTCTCATCTTCTTATTCCTTTACAAAAAGCACGATCAACATATCTTACCTGAGAGTCACCAACCACAAGAATGCGCTTACCTTCATTAGCAGGGGCAGTAGTACCCTTCCCTTCACTGGCCACTGAAGTACATTCATCCTGGAGAACAGAGAAGCGATTTCCTACCTTCAATCTGCACTCTTAATTTTCCCTTACTCTGATGCGCCTCCCATTACTGTGAACAACTCGCCACTTGTAGCAGGTGCTGGCTGCCCCTCACTGCGGGTAGCCGTTGCTACCACCCCACCTACAGCCTCCTCACAGTGAGAGACAGACTGCACCTCACTGCTAGAAGCCTCATTCCCCACATCTCCAACCACCTCACACTCTCTCCCAGGCCCATTGAGGTGGACCTTCAGCCTCCTAATCTCCTCCTGGAGAAGAAAGACCTCCTCCTTCAACCTCCAACCTCAGCTTTTAAAACACTGTAGAAGCAAGCCATGCTTTGTAACCGTCCACGCTAATCCCCAAGCAGCTCAGGGTCTGTGACCTCACGTGACGACTGACCATGAACACTGAACCATTTTGATCACTTTTATGTTCGACGAGTTTCATATGTCTGCAATCTAGTACCTCAGTTTGTAAATATGGCATATTTGTAGTACCAAAAGACCGTGATTGTATGGTGGTCATTCCCCAGTTATCATTTTGCCAGTTGCCTCAGACCTTAATGTGCGGCTTATTTTCTTTTTTTTTTCTTTTTGCCTAGCGGTGTCCGTAGGGACCCCCCTACAGAGTGAGACCTAGGTCTGGGGGTGGGGGTGTTATGCAGGGTTCTGCATGACATCGTAATGTTTCATATAGTGGGGAAAGTGTGCCATAATAATATGAACATTGTAGTTGTAAGGAATAATTTTATAATTGATAATGTGCATTTAGGGGTACTGTAAAGTACTCTAACTGTAATTATAAAGAAATGGTGTTAATGATTTATTTTCCAAGGATGTTTGGGTACGCAGAGTTAGCGTGGGGAGGAGATCACATGACGTTAGCATGGTGTGTAGAGGCTGGCGTCGGAGATGCTGTGTATTTAAGTTAAGTTTGTAGTTGTACACTCATTTTGTTTATCCAACTCAAGCCATAGGCTTTCATATGGCTTACCTGTATGTTCACCCAGGCTCTGACATGGTCAGGGTGCTATGGGATGAGTGATGAAGTAAGAAATGAGGTTTGTAGTGTAATGACGGCCTGACGCTGACAGAAGCCTAGTGTTATGGTGGCTGAACCTCCAGCCAGCTGTGTGTACCCTCATTTGGGCATTTAGAATTAAGGTTGTTATGTTATGGTGATTAAATAGATATATTTTCCTAATTGGGATTTTTGCCTAACCCTCTGTTAACCAACCCATTGATGTAACACATACTGGTTTAGCGCTTTCTGTTTTTGACTGGGATAGCCCTGGGTGGACGGTTTGGGCTTGAGATGTGTGTAACTTTTACCTTTGCTCTTAGACCAGGCTCAAGCCCCCAGCTATCCCACATTTTTGCGTAACAACCACTACCAGCGCACTGTTGCTTCTGGCTACCCACATACATTCCTCAGCCACATTAGGCCTACGTTGGTACTGATGCTCACACACTTTCCTGGTTCAGCAAAGTCCGCCTTTACTGGATGCTATGGTAAAGGCGAAGAGTTGAGGATACAGGAGAACAGCAGGGGTAACTGAGCACACACATTCGCTTCTCTTCACATAGTCAATATGGGCGAAAGTCTCAGGCAGGTGATGCAGTGCCTCGCTTCAGGTCACTGACTGAGGCAGACTTCTCAAGAGTTACCAAACACTGCAATACTCGTAAAAATAGTTACTCCAAACTTGCAGAACTTCTAGCACACATCTTGGAATGAAAGACGAATTTTCAGTGTGTGCAGACCTGGGTTACCAACTCACATAGGACTGCACACTCGTCGTTATTCCTCAGGTTGGTAAAGGGAAGAGCTGTGCGCATATTCAGAGGCACAAGTAGCAGTGGACTAGCAAAATTTGCCTCTACACTGTACATTGATAGAGGCGAATGGCTGAGGTCAAATGAAAGGAAGAGGTGAAGCAGAGGCCTGTGAGGACCTTTTCAAATGGAAAAGTATTTCCAGTGTTTCACTAATTATATCACTAGTCACAACTCACACATAAGAGCTCTCACAACACTGTAGCTGCTATCCAACAGTATGAGTTTTAATGATAACTTATCAGTCGGGAGAAATGGGTAGGCCTGTGAATTAGTAGGTCCAAATCCTCCCAATACACGTCTACTCCCCTCAACCACTCAGCCGAGACTGAGTTTCACTGGGGAGAAATAAGTGGGATTAAGTCAGGAGTATATGAGAGAGTTAGAGCTAAAAGGGGTAGCAATAATGTTGAAGGATCAGTTATGAAAGGAGAAGAGGGAATATAAATTTATAAATTCAAGGATTATGAGAATTAAAATAAGGGCCGGATGCTATAAGTGGGTCATAATAAGTGTGTATGCACCTGGAAAAGAGAGAGAGATGTTAAGAGAGTGTGTACGAACTTTTGAACCAAGTGAGAGAGTAATTGTGGTAGGGGACCTAAATGCTAAAGTTGAAGAAACATTTAGAGAGGGTGTGGTAGGTAAGTTTGGGGTGCAAGGTGCAAATAATAATGGCGGCCCTTTGATTAAACTTTGTATAGATTGGGTTTAGTTAAATGTAATACATATTTTAAGAAAAAGAGGATAAATATGTATACAAGACATGGGAGATAAAAGGTTGTTGATTAGACTTAAGGATGTACATCTTTATAGAAAGGCCACAGATATATCAGATCACTTTTCACTTGTAGCTACAGTGAGATACAAGGAAAATTGAAGCATCAAGTAGGAGAGAAGTGAACGTTTATAAACTAAAGGAGGAGGCTGTTAGGGTAAGATATAAACAACTATTGGAGGATAGATAGGCTAGTGAGAGTATAGGCAATGAGGTCGAAGATGTACGGGTTAGGTTTAATAATGTAGTGTCAGTGTTCAGCAGACGTTTGTGGCTACAGGACAGTGGGTGCGGGAGGGAAGAGCATTTGGTGGAATGATAATGTAAAGAGAGTAGTTAGGAAGAAAAAGTTAGCATATGAGAAATTTTTAAAAAGTAGTTGTGATGGATGGAAGGAGGGTGGAATATATGGAGAGAAAAAGAGAGATTGAGTTGTGAAGGAATGTAAAAAGAGAGCAAATGAGAGAGTGGTGGAGATGTTGTCAACAAATTTTGTCGAAAATAAGAACAAGCTTTTGAGTGAGATTAATAAGCTGAGAAAGCCTAGGGAACAAGTGGATTTGACAGTTAAAAATAGGAGAGGAGAGTTACTAAATGGAGAGTTAGAGGTATCGTGAAGATGGAGGGAATATTTTGAGGAATTGTTAAATGTTAATGAAGATAAGGAGGCGGTGATTTCGTGTATAAGGGAAAGTGGAATAACATCTTGTAGGAGTGAGGAAGAGCCAGTTGTGAGTGTGGGGAAGTTCGTGACGCAGTGGGTAGAATGAAAGGGGTTAAGGCAGATGGGATTGATGGAATAAAGAAAGATATGTTAAAAGCAGGTGAGGATATAATTTTAAAGTTGTTGATTCCTTTATTTATTAAATGTATGTAAGAGTGAAGGTACCTGGGGACTGGCAGAGAGCATGCATAGTTCCTTAGTAAAAAGGCAAAGGGGACAAAAGAGTGTAAAAATTATAGGTGAATAAGTCTGTTGAGTATACATAGTAAAGTGTAAGGTAGAGTTATTTTGAGAGAATTGAGAGTAAGACAGAGAGTAGGATAGCAGATAAACAAGGTGGCTTTAGGAAAGGTAGGAGTTGTGTAGAAGAAGTGTTTATAGTGAAACATATAGCTGAACAGTATTTAGATAAAGCTAAAGAGGCATTTATGGATTTGGAAAAGGCGTATGACAGGGAGGATAGGGGGGCAATGTGGCAGATGTTGCAAATGTATGAAATGGAAGGTTGGTTACTGAAAGCAGTGAAAAGTTTTTACGAGGATAGTGAAGATCAGGTTAGAGTATGTGGAAGTGAGGGAGATTATTTCCCGTAAAAGGAGGCTTTAAGCAGGGATGTGTGATGTCACTATGGATGTTCAATATACTTATAGCTAAGGTTGTAAAAGAAGTGAATGCATGGATGTTGACAAGAGGTATGGCGTTAAAAGACAGAGAATCCAAAACAAAGTGGGAGTTGTCACATTTACTCTTTGCTGATGACACTGTGCTTTTGGGAGATTTTGAAGAGAGGTTGCCGAGGTTTGTGGATGAGTTTCGTAGGGTATGTAAAAGAAGAAAATTAAAAGTGAATATAGGAAAGAGTAAGGTAATGAGGATAACAAAAAAATTAGATGACGAAAGATTGGATATCAGATTGGAGGGAGAGAGTATGGAGGAGAGTATGGATTATTATAATCAAAAAGAAGCGCTAAACCACAAGGACTAGGAGAGTATAGAGCTTTACGTATTCGGCACGACCTATATAAATATTCTCCTCTTGGGAAGCATATACATTGCAGGATCAATTAAAACGTCATTGATATCAGAATTTTTATTTCGTTTTAACAATTTTAATTGTTATTAATGGAAATATAAAAGTGTATCAAAAATTGCTAAAATGAAGGTTTTAAGGAACAGTTATATTTTAAGAAAAAAACATAAAATCTTCACGATTTTTAAGAAGATAGAGTATATTAAATAAAATTGTACAAAATCACGAAGATTAATGCTAATGTTCAAGTGTAATATACAGGTAAAAATGATTTTAGTTATATTCATAATTCTTAACGGGTTGGACTGGAAAGCCAGTACAAGGCCTTGGTCAGATGACCTAAAGCTCCAGCTGCGAATCATCATATGACTAATTCTCGCATCAGGAAACACTTGTCCTGTTTCCTGACAAATCTTACCTAACCTAACCAGCTGCAATATACATAGGAAATGCAATACTCAAAGTTAAAACCAGAGTTGTTTGGTAGGGATACCAAACTATGGTGAGAACCACACCTTAAGCAGTGAATCGGACTTCACCCAAAGCACACTGTGTGAGCAACTAGCCAAAACCTAAGTCCCTCAATCTCATTGGGTGGTTTAAAGTGTAACTGTGATCTCGAGTTGTTGAGAATAACGGATATGATAGTAAATGATCTAGTTCAAATGAACGACTCTGCTTTTTTTGCAGTTCTCACCTGAAGTACTGTTTGAACTGGCCTACAACCTGGAAGCTGCATTAAATAAATTAAAAATAAGTACACAGATGTGGGCTGTAGATCAATAGTTATGCGAAGTTTATGTATTTATTAAGGGAACTTCTCGTAATAATATCTGGTAGTAAAATTGATCCACAATCGAACCAGTTTACTTCTTATTGATAATTTCAGGGACCTTGAGTAGAGAAATAAATGGCAGCTCTTCCAACTTAGCATTTTTAATTAGGGAAGTAATCAAAGCAATTGTTCAGGAACTTAGGTTAGGTTAGGTAAGGGTTGTCAGGAAACAGGACAAATGTTTTCTGATGCTGATCTTAGGCATATGATGACCTGCAGCTGGAGCTTTCGGTCATCTAACCTTTTGGTCATCTGGCTTTTGGTCATTTGACCTTCTGTTGTGTTCAGGAGCTGTTACTCATCTGCATGATGAATCGTATCCCATTTAAAATTTGAGAACAGTTTAAAAGACTTTGTAAAGAGATAATTCAAGAGGCCCTAGAGCTGTAACTTAACGCCCTGAAGTGGTCAAGAAAATTACAGCCCAATATTGCTAAAATTTGTGAAGACCTGTGAAAGGCATTGTGCAGACATCTTCAAAAACCCATCAGACTTGCATCAGTCGGGAATGAGAAAACTATGAGCACTTTACTTTTTCTTTAAGGACAGAGTTTAGTTGGTCATGAGAGCATGGTTTTTGCGCGTGTCCTCCTACTCCCCCATTGCATCTGGGTTCCCATTCTCTATTTCTGACCAATCATAAGCCTTCCCTGAGTCGCTCCAGCTAAAGGAGATGTCATCTCCTTGCTTCCCTTTGGTCAAGAGAGCAAAATGTAAACACTTCTAGCTTGGCGTCGTCCAGACTCGTGTTTTTCGTCGAGTGCTCCTCATATACTCTTGCATTTCACCCTCTACAATGTCGGTAAGTACTGATTTGCGTGTCTAGTGCATAAATGAATAGTTTAGCCATATTATATGAATTCAGTAATGATCTGGGTGTGTACAGAACGTTTTTATTGTCCTTCCAGATCAATCAGAAATTGTTCTATGGCGAGTCCTCCAAGGATAAGTCAAAATTTGTCTGTGTTTGGGACGAAAATGACTCAGATCAAGACCCAGATGACCTGAAATTGGTTGACAGTGGTGATGAATACTTGCCACTAGATGCAGAGGTGTCAACAGATGAGGAGGAAGCTATGCCACCATCCAAAAAGCAGAAATTGAACAAGAAGATACTTGCTTACATGCAAGTATTGCAGCAAAAAGAATAATCATGTCACATCCTCATTTTCCTGTGCAACATACGAAGTAAATCTATACATCAAGAAGGATAGAAATTGTTTCATAAAGTTTCATTGCAGAAATTAGTGATGTAAAATGATTGTTCTTTCTCAGGGAACTCAGGAATATTTCATTTGTAAGTTGTATCCCATTGCAATGTGTCATTGTTGATAAGTAGTTCCTATTTCAATTTTTTTAATGCTTACAAATTATTCAGAAACAAGTTCCATTTATGTTTTTTATATTGTCTACTTGTATAATAAATTTAAAAAATATTTATTTTTCTTTTTAACAGTTGCCACCTTGCAACATTTTAAATTGTTATACCGTTAACGGGCAGGACCGAGTTTACTCGGGCTTACCATGTCTGCAATTGCTCGACACGTAACTTTTACAACTTCATTTATATGACCTCATTGACCTTACATCGAGCGGCTTTATCCTCTCATACGAAATCACTTTCAAATTTGCATTTTGGTCTGCCTTGCCCCCTGAAGGGTTAAAAACATACAGCAAAATTAAAACAATAAGTAACATATACTTCTCAAACACTGATATTTCTCAAACACTAATACTTCCCAAACATTGATACTTTCCAAACTTTCCAAACAACAATACTTCCTAAACAATGATGTTCTTCTGAAACGATTCTTCCGGAACATTGATGCTTCCCAAACAGTAATACTTCCCAATGATGCTGTATTTATAGTTCTCAGTGATATTTCCCACTGGTACTGCAATGCCTCTTCCCACTAAAATTATTTTTTTTTCAGTTTAATCCAAGTTTAAGTGTGATGACTTTTTGCACAAGGCTGTGTTACTAGTATCCCGACTAAAATATATATTCCACTTTTCGATTGGAAGTATATTACACAGGAAATTGGTGGATTGCTAATTTGCACGATTCTTAATCCGCTGCATTATTTTTAGAGAAATTTTAATATACAGTTCAGAGCTCCATTTTGTTGTTATTAACTTCACAAATCGAGGCCACACACAATTTTTGAGTGAGAAAATGGCTATCTGCAGGGGTCAGGTCACTTTTTTCAAAAATATTGCCGAAATGTTTTGAAATAAATGATAATCGAAGTAAAAGCATCACAAATTTTCTTAAATTCTCAGCTAAACTGATTTTGTAATTTATGAAGATGTCAGTGAAACTGTGACTGGAAAAGTAAGTGGATATAAAATGGTGAAAATGAAATTCAGCGAAAATAAAACGGTGAAATGAAACCTGGAAGATGTTTTAGTCTTTGCAGAACTTTACTAATTCAAGTGTCCTAGCTATTTTATTTTCAGATTTGAGAGTTTCTTTTAATTTATTCGAGCCACTGCATTGTTACTTTTAATTCTTCAATAAATCAATCTTTTATCACCAGTCATTAACTATGACCGCTGAGCCTTACACTCGTTCACAAAATTTTATATAATAGTAAACAGCATGATTAGAAGTTATCGTTTTTCTGAAGAGACTCCAGATATTCCAGGATCCCGCACACTGATGAAGCTTTTCCATGTAAGTCTTCATCTTTTATGGGAACCCATTTTCCTGACTCTTTATTTGCTGCTCGACTATAGACTGACATAACTCGATCAAACACAGATTTTTTGTTCCACTCAGTAGAAGTGTTTTTCTCGTCTTGGAATAGTTGTTTAAGGATTCTTTCTTCCAGACCTTCAATACCAACTGACCAAGTATTCCATGACTGTGTGTATCTCTTTGTATTGAATCTTGGAGCAAACCAAAGTTGCAGAGTCAATTTTCTGAGGAGGTGGCAAGCTAACCAAACTTTTCTGTCATCTTCTGAAAGATGTTTGAAGTATCTGGTTTCTTCTTGGTACTTACTTAGTATCCACTCATCATAATTATTGGTAATGAATACAGGCTCAAATCTGCTTTCTTCCTCATTAATGAGTAGTTCAGCTTCCAGTGTTGGCACGATGTAAGAAGTAAGCAGACAGAAATATTTATGGTTCCAAACCCAGTGTATGTACACTCCTTTATGTGTGTAAAGCTGGAAAGGTGGTGCAATTGATATATCTAATATATCTGATGATTTATTTACATAACTTTTAATTGCTTTCTTTAAATGTTCAGCAAATGCTTCTCTGAATTTAGATCCTTTCAGTAGTCGATCCTTTGAGATTATAGAGACTTCTTCATGTAACCCAGAACTTTTGCACATGATGTCCTGCTCCGGAGACACTTCATAAATGAAGTCAACATAATTGATGTGAAAAATCTCATTTCCTTCCACAAGAGGTCCAGTGAGAACGGTTTTACCTTTGAACTTCTTGTCTTCAATACTTTCAACTAGTTTGTCTGTTTCTATCTTTATTTTGTCGCTTATCTCGTTAACTTTCTTTTTCTCACACACGTTATTAACTGCAGCATCAATCAAGTCATCTGGTTTGGTTATTTTTAGATAATTTCCTTTAATGTACAGAAGTTTATGTGCTCGTTTTCCATCTTCAGTTTCATTTTTGACATGAAGTGCCTCTTCACGAGTCATCAAGGGCAACTGACAATTAGAGCAGAATTCTTCATATTTTCTCATTAATTCTGCAGCTGTTAGTTGAATGTTACACTTCATTTCCTTTTGATCATCATTCATTCTTGCTAAAATATATTGGTAACATTCTTTGTGTCCTCCAATGGCAGCAAGATGAGCAGCAGAGTATTTCCCAAGAGTAACTTTATCTAATTCAGGATTTCGATACAAAAGATACTCAAGCATATTCAAACGTCCGTACATAGAGGCGACGTGCAACATCGTACACTCAGAAAATGACTCTACTACACTATTTATATCCATATCTTTAAAAATTTTCTCGTAAAGTATATAAAGTATGTAAACAAGGTCATGTTTAGCTAAAAGATATAAGAAAAAGTCATCAGGACGCTCCAGGGTAATGTCTTGAGATTTCAAGTCTTCGTTTGGCTTCACCTTACTGAGTTGTTCAATATAATTTTCAAGAATATTTGTTTCATCTTTATTGAGTTTCGTGCGGTCATGTTTTCCTGAACAAATATCATCAAGTACTTTTCTTTCATTCACCCAATATTCTTGCAGTAAATCTGAAGGCAAAATTGCTGAAGGTGGCAAAGAAAAGGTAAATGGAACCATATTCATGTCTCTACACAGAGTGACTTGTGTATCAAAGTGATTTCCAAGGAATGCCAACTTGAAAGGATTTTCTTCATCTTGTAATGGGTGAATACAAACATCTTCTAAGCCCAGTAGAACACAAGTGAGGGAGAGGCCATGACTTGCTGCAGTACACAGTAAATCTCTCGCTTTTTTAATTCGTTCGTCATAGTTATTACTTTCCAGTATGAATTTTGAAAAATTTCCAAAGATTCTAAAACATTTTTGATAAGATTCCATAACCTGAAGAAGTTCCTCCTCCTCTTTTCCTGTGATTTTAGAGCCTTTTAAAGTTTCTATCTCCATCTGTATCTTCTCACTGTATGCCTGGTGACAAAGAAAAATCATGAATATTAACAGCTTCTAATTTATATTAATACAATTGATAATTGGAGCTGTAATTTTATATAAATACAGATAAAATGATGTAAATGATACTGTGACGTAGTGGTTTCCTTAATTAACGAAAACATTTAGCTCACATGATGGGTTTTATCCACTCAGTAAAGAATACTGATATACAAAAAGAAGAGTGAGGCTAGTGGGATAATTTTGCTGCTAGAGTACACTGTATGGTATACACCGTGGCCTGGTGGCAAAAGCTCTCGCTGCACAGAGTGAGGATCTGGGTTCGATTCCCGGCAAAGGGTGGAAACATTGGGCGTATTTCCTTTTACCGGTTCATCCATCAGTAAAAATGGGTACCTGGGTGTTAGTCGACTGGTGTGGGTCGCATCCTGAGACAAAACTGACCTAATTTGACAGATATGCTCTGCATAACAAGCGGCTTTCTATATAGTAGTATATTATCTTTGTCAGCTAGGTCTGTATACCTTGTACATGTACTTGTAGAAATAAAGATATTATATTATATTGTGTCCCTGATGCCTGGCTAAAGTTGTAAATATTCCTAAAGCTTGACTTAGCTAACATGAAGTAATCCACATTTTGAATAAAAATGTTAAAATTGCTGATAAGGGCAGAGTGCAGTCATCGTTATTTTTTTCTCATTCTTTGATAACTTACTATTTGTCCATTTTGTGAAGAGATTCTCTGTCTCGATTTACAACACAAACTATCATTAATACACATTAATGTTCTTTGCTCCCACTAATAATGACCAACATTATGGTGGTAATGTTTGCCTCTAGTTAAAGTCATGATGGAAGTGAAAGTAACAACTGAGATATTGGTATTACTTCTGCACAACGTACTGTTGAAGTGTGTGGAAAAACTACAAGTGGGAACAACTGGTAGAATAACAACATAATTGTAAGGCGCAGTTCAAAAAGTGCTTCATCGACCCGAAATACTCCCATACAAATCCCCTTTCATTATCTGCACTTGTATATTTAAATTAATTTTTCTCAAACATTCTCTACTGACCAGATAAAGCCCATCTAGGTGACGTTTTCCTCAGAAAATATAATTCCTTCATTTTTATAGTAATTTAAAACAAAAAAAAGTTCAGCCTTCTATTACAAATCTTTTTATATGTATTCTGGAATCTTAATTCTGTAAGTTTTAATTCTACAAATAAATTAGATAACAACATTTTTTAATTTATCCTGTGGTTATGCTTTTTATGAGATATTGACAAATATATATATACATAATTCAAATGTTTTAAGAGGCATAAATTTTAAATATACTTTTAGACAATTGCTGATTTAAACTGTAACAATCAAGACTTTTATATGCACACAAATATAGACTAAACAAAACAGTTTAGATAACTGATAGAAAAATGTGGAGTACCATGCGGATGAGAGCAGGAAAAACAGCTGGGAGTCCAAGAGTGTTGTGCGCTCCCTCTAAGGGTGTCATATCCTCTATTGATTGATTGCAGAGAGGAGCACCAGCACTTAACAGCAAGAACAGAGCATCTCTTTGGTTGTGTCGTATTGCATGAAGCAGTGGATCAGCACGAGCAGCCATAGGTAACAGAGGCACGCCAGTCTTCAACAACTGCTGAATGGTTTTAGTGTTACCTTTTCCAGCAGCGATAACAAGCTCAGCGTGACGTTCAGTGTTTTGTTCAAAATCAAACTTGAAATACTGAGTGTGCTGTCAAAAAACAAAATAATAACGATAAAAAAAAATGTTCTTTTTCTCTCAAAATCCTACAATCATCAACCAGTTTGGCCTATTTGGTAAGGGTGCACTTTGCTGAATAAGTAGATTGAAAATTTGCTTTTGCCATAAATCAGCAGAAATCGATCTAAGCATTTCGAATATGTGGAACCTCGGTACTCGGACAGCTCCATACTCGAACAATTCGGTACTCGAACGTTTTGTTCGGTAAATAATAGTTCGGTAGTCGACCATTTGCTCGGTACTCGACCAGACAAACACAGCTTGCCAGAACATGTATGTCAGTCTCCCCGCAGCTGTCGAATAGTCCAAAACTCCGCTGAGTTTCACTGTAAACTATTTCGTGTTTCTTCGCATTTTTAGTTTTTTTTTTTATATTATTTGCATAAATAAGTCACTATGGGACCTTAGAAGATTAGCGATAACAGCCAACGAAAAAGACAATTGGTTAGAGTGTACTTGCCCTAATGTAAACACCTCTGCCACTCCATATAATATGCCTTTTATTACTAATTTCGGCGACTTTATTGAGCTTTTAGGTTATCTATCGAGTTTCAGGTATCAAGCTAAAAAAATGTGATAGATAACCTTTATTACTAATATTAGCATAATTACACAACATTGTATTTGTGCCGCCGCTAGTATCCGACTGTCAAGACGACTCATTAGATACTGCTGGCCATCCCCCCTCTTTCCCCAGTGGCACCTCGAACATCGGGCCCCTCTTATATTACGCTTGCTTTCCATTTTGAATTTTTATTCACTCAAAAAATAGATTTACTGTTATACAGATTACTGCATTATTGAAAAATGGTATAAATAACATCAGCGCATTTGTGAAAGCATATTAGACATACCAGTTGACGTGTACTGGACGCGTGACGTGATCTGTTTACTCTTGAACATCAGCAAAAATCGAACATTTCCGCTAATTTGAGGTCAGTTTCAAGGTAATTTTAGTAAGTAAACCATTCAAAATCATCACTATTTCTATAATATATTTCCCATTCAATCAAATGAGACTAAGAAAACGAGAATACATTCACAAATACCATAGGAAAATATACTGCAGAATCGCTGTAAGTGTATTTTGGGGGTATGAAATGAAGTAATCTAATTTACATTATTCTCATGGGAAAAATTCATTCGGTACTCGAACAGCCTTCTGGAAAGAATTAAGTTCAACTACCGAGGTTCCATTGCCTATAATATATATATATATAAGATAAGATTTCGTTCGGATTTTTAACCCCGGAGGGTTAGCCACCCAGGATAACCCAAGAAAGTCAGTGCGTCATCGAGGACTGTCTAACTTATTTCCATTGAGGTTCTTAATCTTGTCCCCCAGGATGCGACCCACACCAGTCGACTAACACCCAGGTACCTATTTGCTGCTAGGTAAAACAGGACAAACAGGTGTAAGGAAACGTGTCGAAATTTTTTCCACCGCCGGGATCGAACCCGTCCCCTCCGTGTTGAAGCGGGGAGCCATAGCCACCAGGCCACCGGGCTCCACACAACATACACACACACACACACACACACATATATATATTTTATATATATATATATATATATATTATATATATATATTATTATTATATATATTAATATATATATATATATTATATATATATTTTATATTATATATATGTCGTCCCGAATATGTAAAAATGGTCAGTTAGCAAGAACTCATTTAAAATTAAGTCCTTTCTAAAACTTTCTCTTATACGTTTAAAGATATATTTTTTTCATTAATATTAATGTAAAAAATTTTAATTTTGCACATAAAAAATTCTTAGAAAACTTCCCTAACCTTATTATAACAAGTGCAGTTTATTTAGCCTAACCCAACTAAAATATTTTACATTTGTTTACAGTAATTTAACACTTAACAAACACAGTGACATATATTTTTTTCGTTAGGTTCAGAATGATTTGGCGGGAAATTATTGCATACACAAATTTTCACTTGTTTCCCATATGGGAAGATGAGCGTTGCTATTTAAGCCAAGATCGCAAGTTCTGCCCATTCGGCACGACATATATATATATATATTTATATATATATATATATATATATATATATTTAAAATATATATTATATTATTATTTATATTTTATATTATATGTCGTGCCGAATATGTAAAATGGTCAATTAGCAAGAATCATTTAAAATTAAGTCCTTTCTAAAATTTTCTCTTATACGTTTAAAGATATATTTTTTTCATTGATGTTGAAAGTAAAAATTTATTTAAATTTTGCACCAAAAAAGGGAAATTAGAAAACTTACCTAACCTTATTATAACAAGCGCAATTTATTTTAGCCTAACCGAACTAAATATATTTTAGATTTGTTTAAAATAATTTAATACTAAACAAACACAGGGAAATATATTTTTTTCGTTAGGTTCAGAATGATTTTGGCGAAATTATTGCATACACAAATTTTCACTTGTTCTATAAATAACAAAAAGGCACAATACCGTGACTGGAACGATACACAAATAACCCCCACATAAAAGAGAGAAGCTTACGACGACGTTTCGGTCCGACTTGGACCATTGACCCAAAATCACACTAACAGAGGTGGAGAAGGACGGCTTATATAAGCAAAAAGAGGTGGAGGTAGTAGTAGTAGTAGTAGTTTCTACTACTACTACTACTTCTACTACTACTACTACTACTACTACCTCCCCCTCTTCCTGCCTATATATAGCCGTCCCGCTCCCCCTCTGTTAGTGTGACTTTGTCAATGGTTCAAGTCGGGCCGAAACGTCGTCGTAAGCTTCTCTCTTTTATGTGCGGGTTATTTGTGTATATTTCACTTGTTCTATATGGCAAGATGAGCGTTGCTATTTAAGCCAAGATCGCAAGATGTGCCTATTCGGCACGATATATATATATATATATATATATATATATATATATATATATATATGCAAGGAATTCGCGAGAGCATGCGAAATATACACAAAACACTGATCTCTGGCTGAAGGAGACTCGAACATACGAACCTTAGGACAAGGTACGCAGTGCTTTACCAATCTACCCACACTGGACCAATACCTTGGCGTGTAGCATGAGCTACACGTTTTGATCCAAGGCAGCCAGCTTTCAGGGAGAAGGCTTACAGCTTTTCATCTCATCCCCTGCATGCATCAGCCTTACTAGAGATTTGAACAATGCAAGGAATTCGCGAGAGCATGCGAAATATACACAAACACTGATCTCTGGCTGAAAGAGACTCGAACCTACGAACCTTAGGACAAGGTACGCAGTGCTTTACCAATCTACCCACAATGGACCAATACCTTGACGTGTAGCATGAGCTACACGTTTGATCCAAGGCAGCCAGCTTTTAGGGAGAAGGCTTACAGCTTTTCATCTCATCCCCTGCATGCATCAGCCTTACTAGAGATTTGAACAATGCAAAGAATTCGCGAGAGCATGCGAAATATACACAAACACTGATATCTGGCTGAAGGAGACTCGAACCTACGAACCTTAGGACAAGGTACGCAGTGCTTTACCAATCTACCCACACTGGACCAATACCTTGGCGTGTAGCATGAGCTACACGTTTGATCCAAGGCAGACAGCTTTCAGGGAGAAGGCTTACAGCTTTTCATCTCATCCCCTGCATGCATCAGCCTTACTAGAGATTTGAACAATGCAAGGAATTCGCAAGAGCATGCGAAATATACACAAACACTGATCTCTGGCTGAAGGAGACTCGAACCTACGAACCTTAGGACAAGGTATGCAGTGCTTTACCAATCTACCCACACTGGACAAATACCTTGGCGTGTAGCATGAGCTACACGTTTGATCCAAGGCAGCTGATGCATGCAGGGGATGAGATGAAAAGCTGTAAGCCTTCTCCCTGAAAGCTGGCTGCCTTGGATCAAACGTGTAGCTCATGCTACACGCCAAGGTATTGGTCCAGTGTGGGTAGATTGGTAAAGCACTGCGTACCTTGTCCTAAGGTTCGTAGGTTCGAGTCTCCTTCAGCCAGAGATCAGTGTTTATATATATATATATATATATATATATATATATATATATATATATATATACATATATATATATATATATATATATATATATATATATGTCGTGCCGAATAGGCAGAACTTGCGATCTTGGCTTAAATAGCAACGCTCATCTTGCCATATAGGACAAGTGAAAATTTGTGTATGCAATAATTTCTCCAAAATCATTCTTATCTTAAGGAAAAAAAATACATTTCACTGTGTTTGTTTAGTATTAAATTATTGTAAATAAATCTAAAATATATTTAGTTGGGTAACGCTAAAATAAATTGTTCTTGCTATAATAAGGTTAGGTAAGTTTTCTAAGATTCTTTAGGTGCAAAATTAAAATTTTTTACATCAACATTAATGAAAAAAATATATCTTTAAACGTATAAGAGAAAATTTTAGAGAGGACTTAATTTTAAATGAGTTCTTGCTAATTGACCAGTTTTACATATTCGGCACGACATATATATATATATATATATATATATATATATATATATATATATATATATATATATATATATATATATATATATATATATATATATATATTATATATATACACACACACACACACATTATATATATATATATATATATATATATATATATATATATATATATATATATATATATATATATATATATATATATATATTTATATATATATTTTTTTTTTTTTTTTTTTAATTCACAGTACCACCTCTATAGCTGGAATGGGGACCCTCATCCTCAGAGAAGACAATAAACGTACCTCAGAGAAAACTCAAGGTTCTCCCCGGAGCTGTTTGAATATTTTCTTCTCCTACCACCCCCTATATATTTTTTATTTTATGTGAACATTTATTAATAAACAAAATACATTTAGAGAAAAAAAACATAAACATGAATACAATGGCACAATGTATCAAAGATCATGAATTTCCTCCAGCTCCTCCGAGGCTGGACGTGAGCCAAGTATGCAGCAAGCATTTCCCCTCTGGATGGCGACGCTGAGGCGCTGGAACATGAAAGTGGCTGCCCTTGGGTCCCTGGTGGTGTCGATGAGTCTGGAACCCAATTCTTTAAGGAAACGTGTGGCATTTTTTCCCCATGATCCCAAGGTCTCCGATCCCACTGGGACGAATTGATACTGTTG